GAAACTGCGCTAAAATTTTTAAACCAACTTTGATCAAAGATATCTCAACACCCACTTGATCAAATTCGATAAAAATTTTTTTATTTGAATTCTACAGATCTGTAGAATTTGAATAAAAAAATTTTCATTGAATTTGGTTAACTGAATACTGAAATAACTTTGATCAAAGTTTGAGAATTTTTAAAATACTAATAATATAGAAATTGTATAAAATTTTTAATTCAACTTTGAAGATATTTTGGCACCTACACGGTCATGCACCCCCACATAATTATTTACTCTTTTTTAAAAAAAAAACTTTATTTAATAAAATAAAAATAATACAATGCAAAAAAAAACATAATAAAAACACTATATAGCTATATATTTATATAATCCCAACAAAAATAAACAGCACAATCCAAACTAATTGCGTATCAATAAATATCATTGTGCAACAAACAAAAAAAATTACATCAAACTCACCCACGTTGACTATATTAGCTTTGTCTAAAAACCCACCCACTCATCCACTTTTTTAAAGAAACAACTAACAACAAAAATTGACAGTCGAAAGTCTATTAATGACAGCTTCAAAATGACAGCTTCAAAAATGATGACTCCAAGAATGACTTTAACAAAATAAGTCTAGAAGAAAAAACAAGTTAAATAGAGGAAAAAAAACAAAATTTACCTCATAGTGACAGAATTCATCTATAGTACGATCATTCCACTGCAACAAAAACTAAAGCACCAACAATATCAACTGTAATATCAACGATAACTCCAGCTATGATCCAGTAAAATTAGCAAGAGACAGACAGACCAAAGAAACTAATAAGAAACAAGCAGACCAACAAAACCAACAAGAGACAGAGTGAAATCAAAAAGAAAAAAAAAGTTGTTAGTTAAGTTAAATATATAAAGGATGTGGTGACTTAGAGTAGTGGTTAAGTTGTCACACCCCAAGCGGCAGGTCTAGAGTTCAAATCCCACCAGAGATGTTTTTAGAAATATAGGCCTGTGTATTGGTAACAATTATTTAATAATTGGTTGGGTATATTACCTGTAATCTTGGTACTATCATCTCGAAATGGAAGCTCTTGAGCGATCCAAATTTAAAAAAACCAGAATAATTAAAACCTATTTGACAAGACCTGAGTAAAGAGATAGTGAAGATCTTTGATGATACTGCAGAATAGTCAGAAACCAAAGACCAAAGAACTGGACAAAAACCCTGAGGCAAGAAGGGTTCACCAACCTAGCCGCCGGAGTCATACCGAAGAAAAAGGTCCTATATTACTGAATTATGAACCAAGAGAAGTAAAACTGGAAGACACTTAAAGCCTAGATACAACAACCCGTCCGGACTAACTGATTTGGTAGTTGGAGAGGGATTGGTATAAGGACTGGCTTGATGTGGGCATCGGGATCAGAATGAACCTTGCAAGGACATCAGATACTGGAATTATATAGTTTAATGGTTTGCTCTGACTGCTAGTGGTAGTTTTAGCTGCTGCAGAAGGTATTTGTAGCCTAATCGAGAAGTGCATAGGACATAGAAGGATTAGGAGGTATATACAACACCTTCTTTAAAGCAACCTAGTAGTATGAGAACCCTACTGAGTTATCTATAGAATTAAAGTTCAAGTAGTATAGCAGATGTCGATCTGGGTGGTCTTTAATAAGAAGCAGTATGAGGTTATGGATTGGTGTAATTGTAGTGGTGCAGGATGGAGGATGTCAGAGAGTTTAAATAGACAATCTTCTAGTTAGGTTACAGATATGGTATATAGTATAGAACCTTTGGGTAGACTATTTAAATTAGGCGACCAAAAGTTGCATGTGTTGCTATATATATTCTTGCTAATCAAGAATGTACTATTAAATATATCTAATAAAAATCCACCCTTCTGTGACATTGCAAAGGAAATAAAAAAAAAAAAAATTAAATATATAAAAAAAAAAAACTTATCATAATCAACTGACTCAAAGTAATGATAAAACTAATAAGAGAAAGACAAATGAACCAACAAGAGAGATACAAACTAGCAAAACCAGCAAAAGAGAGGCAAATCAGAAAAACTAACAAGAGACAAAACAAAACCAGAATGAAAAAAAAAGTTGGTTAGTAAAGTTAAATATATAAAAAAAAAAAATAAATAAATAAAAAATATTTATCGTAATCAATCAATCCAAAGTAATGACAAAACCAACAAGAGAAAGACTAATGAAACTAATAAGAGAAAGACCAATAAAACTAGCAAGAAAAAGACTAACAAAACCAACAATCTTGGTTTCATTGGTCTTTCCTTGTTGGTTTTGAGAAATACTAATGAAACCAACAAAAGAAAGACCAACGAAACCAACAAGAAAAAGACTAATAAAACTATTAAGAGAAAAACTAACCAATGAAACCAGCAAGAGAGAGGCAAACCAGAGAAACCACAAGAGACAAAACGAAACCAGAAAGAAAAAAAAAGTTGGTTAGTAAAGTTAAATATAAAAATAAAATAAAAAAAATAAAAAAAAATACTTATTGTAACCAACTGATCCAAAGTAATAACGAAACCAACAAAAGAAAGACCAATGAAACCAACAAAAAAAAGACCATGAAACCAACAAGAGAAAGACCAATGAAACCAACAAGAGAAAGACCAATGAAACCAACAAGAGAAAGACCAATGAAACTATCAAGAAAAAGACCAATCAGTGAAACCAGCAAGAAAGAGGCAAACCAGAGAAACCAACAAGAGACAAAGCAAAACCAGAAAGAAAAAAAAGTTGGTTAGTAAAGTTAAATATATAAAAAAAAAAAAAAAAAATACTTATCATTCCAAAGTAATGACAAAACCAACAAGGGAAAAATCAACAAAACCAACAAAAGAAAGACCAATGAAACCAACAAGAGAAATGCTAATGAAACCAATAAGAGAAAGACCAATGAAACTAACAAGAAAGAGACAGACTAGCGAAACCACCAGATAAATTAAAATTAAAAAAAGGAAGCGTATTAGTCAAATGAAAATGAAAAAAAAAGAAAGGGAAAAAGAAAAGATGACAAAAAACTAAAAAAAGAGAATAGAAAAAAAGATAGAGAAGTGAAAAAAAAGAAAAAAGTGAAAAAAAAAAAGCAGAAAAAAAGAGGCAGAAAAAAAAAAGATCAAAAGAAAAAAATATTGAAAAAAAGCTGAAAAAAAAAGAGAATGAAAAAAAGAAATGCCGAAAAAAAAAAAGAGAATGAAATAGAGAAAGCAAACAAAGAAAAAAATCGGAAAAAAAAGGCAAAAAAAAAGATCAAAAAAAAAATGAAAAAAGCTAAAAAAAAAAAAAAGAACGAAAAAAAAGAAAAACCGGCAAAAAAAAAACAGATCAAAAGAAAAATGAAAAGCACAAAGAAAACTAAATCGATTGATCAAGATTAAAAAAAAAGACTAAGATAATCTACTTATCTATCTGGATCTAGTGATGTGGGATAAGACTATTCAACCTTGCGTTGACAATTGAAAAAACAGATTAAATGATTGGTTAATGAGACCTGTGAATTTCACAGCCTGTTAACCGTAGTAATTTTCTTAATTAAATACTTATTTTCTTTATTTTTTGTGTTTTTTACTTTTTCTTTGTTTTTGTCTCATCAGGCTGATCTGAGTAAATTAAAATTTAGCTGATTTCTTAATTTAGAATCCTTTAGAAATTTCTAATCATATTTTAAAGATAGAGATCATTTTTAATAGTAATCATGTGGTGTTCATATGAAATCATGTGATGACCAATCAGAATTGCAAAAACAACACATTTGACCAATCAGAATCAGTAATTTTTATACAACCTAAGTAAATTTGAAACTAAGTTTTTTTTATCAATATATGAAGTAGATTTTTTTAAAAGATACAGTGTTTATCTGGGCCTTCTCTTTTTCTTTCTATAACTAATGATAGTTTAACTTAAATTAATTTTTAAATAAAAAATTAAGAGATGATTTGCTACACTTAGGTGGTTATACAAGATATAATAGATAGTTTAAATTAAGAGCGAATCTATTTGTCGCCGGCGGTGACAGTACCGGAGTGTGATCGACCAATTAGATCACAGGATCATGTGTAACGTGAAAAATGTAAAAACTTGGATTTTTTTAAAAAATCGCCGTTATCTCGAAATTTCATCTATGAAACCACATTTTTCATTCTAACAAAAAAAATTCCTTGCAAAATTTTACTATATACTATGACCTACCCGAACCATAACTATGACTCTAACCCGAACCCTAATGATAGTAAGTTTTGACGCTTTGTTTTTGTTTTGATTATGACGTATTTGTTGATCACATTCCAGTACTGTCACCGCCGGCGACAAACACATTATTTCTTAAATTAATATCATCTTGATACAACCTGTAAACTAATCTTATTCTGAATACAGCAAATTCAAAAAAAAAAAAAAAAAAAAAAAGATACAGTGTTTATAATTTTACTGTTATAAAATAAGAGGCCCAAATTATATACTGGAAAATTTGGTGAAGATTAGTCACGATTTTAAAAAGTTTTATCAGTGGTGAATTTTTGCTGTCTATGTAAAATTTCAATATACTACGTAGATCATATGAAAAATGATTCATTCATTTTCTACATAGGAAATTTTAGGAATGGAGTAATTCTAGTTTTTACTACTAAATTTGATCGTAAAGTTCATATTACGATCAACCCTACTTAGCGATTTTTGGAATGCCGTTGAGAAAGTTTTGCAAAATAATAATTGTATAACAACTAGCATGTAGTGTTCTTTTATTCTAGTCAAGAGATTATGTAATAAATTTGGAGCAAGCGGCCAAATTTGACCGTTAGACGGTTTAAAGGATACCAAAATTATGAACCGGTCGTAGTTTAAACAAAATTTAAATCGGTTTGCTTGCAATATATATTTTCACACAGATCTACAGATAAATCAGATAAATCAGTTAAATTTGAAATATCTCCAATTGATCAATTGATTATCTTTCTTCAGTTAATTGAATATCAATAATGGCTGCAATTTTTGAAACAATCGCTAAATTTGCCCTTCCAGTTGGTGCGGCTGTTGGTTTGCTTCAGTATAGCATATATGACGGTAAACCAATACACGCTTTATTAAAGCTTTCATTTAATAATGAAACCCCTGTTGCAACTTAAATATTAGTCTGACGTATTTCTTCAATTTATCTAGTCCAAGGTGGATATCGTGCTGTCATATTTGATCGTCTTAAAGGTGTAAAAGAAACTCCAATTGGTGAGGGAACTCATTTTTTGATCCCTTGGCTACAACGCGCCATTCTATATGATGTTCGTACAAAACCCCGTAATATCTCAACAACAACCGGTTCAAAGGATATGCAAATGGTCAGTTTGACTTTACGTGTTCTTCATAAACCAATCATACCTCAATTACCTCAAATCTACCAAAATTTGGGTTTGGATTATGATGAAAGAGTATTACCTTCTATCGGTAATGAAGTGTTAAAATCTGTTGTTGCTCAATTTGATGCTGGTGAATTGATTACTCAACGTGAAGTTGTGAGTTATTTGTTGATTTTTGGGTATGTACTTTTATTTATTTATATGATTTCCGGCATTCTAATTGGACAAATTTGTTGTTATTATTAGGTTTCATCAAAAATACGCGAAGATCTTGTAAAAAGGGCTAACGAATTCAATATCGAACTGGAAGATGTATCGATTGTAGATATCTAAATTTTTTTAATAATGCAAATTAAAAAAAAATTATTTAAAATAACATTTTATATATTTTTATAATAGACTCATATGACTTTTGGTAAAGAGTTCACAAATGCTGTAGAACAAAAACAAATTGCTCAACAAGAAGCAGAACGTGCAAAATTCATTGTAGAAAAGGTAATTTAGAGAGAGATATATATTTCCTCATCACACATATTAGAGTATTCTTGACATTGAATTCGATTAATCAGGCCGAGCAAGAAAAACAAGCAGCAATCATTCGCGCTGAAGGTGAGGCTGAAGCTGCTGATAGAATTTCTAAAGCTCTTGACAAAGCAGGTGAAGGATTAGTATTATTGCGTCGTATCGAAGCATCTAAAGAGATTGCAGGAACATTGGCGAATTCGCATAATGTGACATATTTGCCTGGTAGTCACAATGGTGGATCTAATTTGTTATTAAATCTTGGTGTTTGATTTATCTT